CAAGTTATAAGCTGATGGTATGTATATTTTGAAGTATTCCTGTAATAGTATAGGAATATAGAAATTAAATCTTCCATCAAGTGCTTTCCATCAAGTGGGCCATCAACTTGCTTGCTATTCTATTTACATAAAAATATTTTTTTTATAGCACAGGGGACAAATGAGCTTGCATCTCACCTGATTCGAAGTGATTACCGCCGCCCATGAGCACCCGCTTGAAAGTTTCAATATCGTATCGATACGAAATTACCATTGCGGGAAAGTAATTCCACTATTTGGTTGTGCCTGGCAAAAACTTTCTAGAAAACCACACGGTGGAGGACCGCTATTCATCTAGATGATCAGTATGGTATTTTAGTTTTAAATAAGTGCGTTAAAATTGAAATTAATAAATTGTATATAATCGCCCGCAGTTTATGAACTATACCAGCCTCTACCCGGCACCTCGGCCATACAATATCTACCCTCAATCTGGCCCACTACTTACCACGTTAATGTTAATGCAGTGCTTAAACAGCACCAGAACTTTACCAAAACATCGGTACCACTGAAACAATACCCTCCATTATGGCACAATCATATGGAATTAGGAACGGAACTCCGCGTTTCTTTCATCAGTTTCCGATTTTATTCGTCAGTATCCGCTCCTGCGACTTCGTCCGCGTGGAATTTAACTTTATTTTTCTAAAATAGAAGCAGCCTAAGTTACTCTATTCCATCGGCTACCTGCCAAAAAAAGTACCATCAAAATCGGTCCAGCCTTATCAAAGATTATCCGGAATAAACAGACAGATAGACGAAAATAAATAAATATTTTAGTGTATGTACCATATTTATATTCTATTTATATATAGTAAAAAACGGTTATTTCAATATTACAAACAATATTACAGACACTCCAATATTACCCGAAATAAACAGACAGACAAAAATTGTAAAAAATGATATTTTGGTGTATGTACCGTATTTATATTCATATACATGTAATAAAAAACTGTTATTTCAAACAGACAATCCAATTTTATTTATATGTATAGATGTTAAACAATACTACGAAATTGGTAGATAGAAAAGAAATATAAAAACCTCTTATCTATTCCTGGCAGCCTAGTCCATTCTAGCGGTTTAACACGAAGCTTAACTTCCGATGGTCGAGGATTCGATTCTTCGCACGATGCAAATATTTGTATTTAGGGGGAAAGGTGATTGTTGGTAATGTAAATAAATAACCCCATTACTACACGTTGACCTCCATGGGGTTCCTCCTAAAAACCAACGCGATAAATTTTCGGTTCCCTCTGGAAACCATAAATTCCAATGAATTTGTCACAATAGGCAAACTGACTGAACCTCATGCTCATCTTATCATCCTCCACTGGTGCCCTGTCAAGGTATACCATTAGCATATTATCATCCACTAAAAATATATTTGTATTATTTGTATGATTTTTTTTATATAGCATATGTTGGTGGTCACTCTATTCTCCCAAATTTGAATTTAAATGAAACAGTATTATTGTAAATATGTACAACATAAAAAAAAATACGAGCTGAGTTTCTTGTCAGTTCTTCTCATCTCGATATCCAGAGTTAGTTTTATTATTTTACCTAAATAGTAATGATCTGGGTTTATTTCTATGTATATTATATATGTATATAAAAAAAAACATGCATTATGTTAGTCGTCTAATACTCATAACACAAGCTCTGCTGAGGTTGGGACTAGATGGCGCAGCCTGCCACGTCCAAAACTTATTATTTTTCACTTACTATTTGTCTTGTTAAAATCTTGAGCTCTATTTCAGCAAACCCTTACTCGTATATATAGATATAGTATTTAAATTTAAGCCTTAAGTTAATAAACAGAAAGTACATTTCAATGCAAATGTATATAATTAATTCAATAAATGAAAGCTATATAATTAATTCAATAATCACCATAAAACATGGTGTTACAATATCTAAATCGGAGTTAAACAACTAAACATTCTTTTAACATAATTTGTTAATTTCCATGTAATTCCTTTAGTTTCTTTAAATGACTCGTTATAGTTCTCACTCGGCTTGATAACTTTACCTCGTGCCGATCACGTGACTACACGGTAAAATTATTAAAACAGTAGTAAAAAATTTGTAATACAAGAATTTTGGGTACTTATTTGATTTCTTTTATTATTATGTATGTATATGGTCTAGCGGTTATTAAACCGATGGTCGCGGGTTCGATTCCTCGCACGGCACAAACATTTGTATTCATGAGTATGATTGTTTGTATCGGTCTGGGTATTTTCTATGTATAATATGTATGTATTTACGAAAAAAAAAATTATCTATGTATTTGTATCAGTTGTCTAGGACCCATTTTTTTAATCTAGATGGCGCTGTATGAATGGCCTAAGATTATTATTATTATTATTATTATTATTATTATTATTATTAAAAACGCAAATAAAGAAATTTTTAACCGCAAATATAGGAATTGGGTTTCTTTTTTTTAATCCACGAATAGTGAAAACGCGAATTAAGGAAGCGCTAATAAAGAACTTTTACTGTATTTGTTTACGCTAGTGGTCGCCCAGTAGTCGAATTCGATCATAATGAAGAAGAATGAACAAAAATACAACAAGATCTTTGAACCTGCTATAGATAAATGGTTTATTATCTGTATCTATATCTATACTTAATAAAGTATTTCACATACACACGAAAATAGTATCTTTTGTTGTGTGTGTAATGTTATTTTTATTGATATAATAATAATGTATTTTATATGTAAAGATAAAAAAGCACTCCTTTTCTACATAAATTATAAGAATAAAAAATTTCAAAGTTTCGCAAGTTTCAATTTTAAAAACATATATATTTTTTTATTTATTTACTCAGCATTTATATGTTTATATTACACAGCACTATCTAGACCCAAGTTAAGCTAGCTAAAGCTTCTGTTATGGGTACTAGACAACTGATACAAATACATAGATATATTATTTTCATAAATACATACATATATATAGAAAACACCCAAACAAATACAAACAATCATACTAACGAATACAAATGTTTGTGGCGTGCGAGGAATCGAACCCGCGACTATCGGTAGTAAAGCAGTGTTCCAAACCGCTAGACCACCGAGACCGAGTATGTTTATACTTATTACTTATTTCTGTTAATATTTAACCTACTGTTCCTCCCTGAATGTATTGTAACCAGCTCCCTATATACGAACAGCTGCGTGTTGCTACAAAATTATTTCCTAGCACAGTTAACATGACTTAACATGCGATAATGTCCCAACTTTAACTGGTGTTTGAAATGACGTTATATTTAATTTTAATCGGTACTAATTTCATATTTTTACAGTTAGTAAAACTGATAATGGATATTGTTAATTTTACTGAATGTATTATTGGGGAAAAGAGAGTAATATTGACAAATAAGGCCGAAAAAGAGATGGATGGACAGTGTGACAGATTATATGATAAGAGAGGAAGTAAATAGCCGAAAGTATTATTGGCGAAAGGGGAGTGTAGTTAGATAAACAAACTAGCTTTTTCCCGCGGCTTCGCTCGCGTTAATTTATCCTCTTAGGATAGGAGATAGGATGCCTACATCATAGCTTTATGTATGCAAAGTCTCAGCCCGATCGGTTTAAAATTGACAAAGTTTCATACAAACTTTCATCCCCTATTTTATCCTCTTGAGGGTAGAATTAATCAAAATCCTTTCTTAGTGGATGCCTACGTCATAACATCTACCTGCATGCCAAAAATCAGCCCGATCCGTCCAGTGGTTTGGGCTGTACGTTGATAGATCACTATGTCAGTCACCTATGAGTTATATATATTTAGATAAGGGCAGAGGAAGGCAGATAAAGAGATGTATGGAATGTGTGAAAGAAGATATGGTAAGAAAGGGAGTAAATATCGAAATGACTGCGAACAGGGATAAATGAACGAGATAACGTATTACGACACCAAATAAATAAGGTAGAAGCAGATGATGAACTTCATTGCTATCAATGTACTAAGTGAGGTTGACATCTATGCGGTTACCCCTAAAAACCATCGTGATAAATTCTTGGTGGATTCGTCACAGCCAACTGACCTGACCTGATGCTCCACTGGTGCCTATATCATTCATAAAAATGTTTTTTTTATAAATCTTATTACATCGTTTAGATAGACAAGATATTGTCTAAATAACGTACTCGGTAGTTTAGCGATTTAGAACATTTTAGCTCCTATTCTTTATTCTTCTATTCTTCGCACGGAATAAACATTTTTATATGAGTATGATTGTTTATATCGGTCTGGGTGTTTTTTATGTATAGTATGTATGTACATATTTACGAAAAAAAATATCTATCTAGCAACAAGATTTAGCTAGCTTAACTTGGGTCTAGATTTGTGTGAATTGTCCTGAGATTATTATTATTATTATCATCCGTGAAATATAATAAATTTTTGGGCTGTAAAATACTTAGGAGTATAAAAAATGGATAAAAAAATACATATACGAGATTTACATATATATAGGGAGAGAGAGAGAGAGAAAGAAGAATATAATATACAAGGCGGACCACGAAAATTTCTAAACAACACATTTTTAAAACAATGTCTTCACTATTTTATTATACAGTGTTTGTCCTGTTGCTTTTTTTGTTGATCCCAGCTTATTAGTACTGACTACAATGGACATTATTATCTTTATTGCAAATTAAATACATTATTTAAGTAATTCATTAGAATAATATTGTTGGTTAATAACTACGGGTATTAATAAATGTATGTAATATTTATTTAAGTATAAATATCTATCACAATTCCACTTATTAAAATACACAACTGGCACGTTCCGCTGTCGTTACCAGAATGCTGTGGCTCACAAAATTTCCCTCCTTTTAATGTTTTAAATTATCTATTTTTTTTGCCAATAATGACTTGAACCCTAACAATATTAAAAAAAGTGGAAATAATAATGTTAACTAACGATTTTCTTACCTGCTGCCGGTGACAGTTTCGTTACGACGCCCCACCTCGACTTCCACTGAAACAAACGAATACATATTAATTTTCAAATTCAAATTCAAATTCAAAATATCTTCCTTCATATAGATCTATTACAGACTCTTATGATATATCAAATCTACCGTCAGTAATAAATACCACAAAAATAACCAAATATTATAGACCGTAAAAATCACGTTTAAATTTATTGTCTGACTATTTTAAACTGAAAATCAGAGCTGGAAACTATGTTTCAAGCATTATGCTGAGTTGTGATTTGACTTTAGATTGACTCTGTTTTGTGATGTATGTAAATTGTTGTTTGTATGTTTTTGACATTATTGTTGTGTCAAGATGACTCAATAACATTCTATTCTATTTCTCCGGTGATGGAAACACTGATAACAAACCAGTTAATCCGAGATATGACCGTTGCTTCGTAGCTGCCTACCCCCTACTTTAGATTTAAATAAAGCTAAACTTTCTTTATTTATATATTGATACATAGAGCATAAACTTTGTACTCCTTTTTACGAAAATTTCACACACTCATAGCTTATATAGACAATGCAGAATGCTAATATATTTTTTTTATTCTAAAAAATGGGTTAAGTCTATAAAAAAACATTACACATGCTACCAATAGTCTTTTATTTATTGTCTGTGGTCAAATAGAGAACAGATTAATAATGTTTGTGTTAAAAAAAATTGTCTTTGACAATAAAACATACATAGACATCATAACATAGTATAAAACAAAGTCGCTGTCGCTGTCCGTCCCTAATGCATGCTTAAATCTTTAAAACTACGCAACGGATTTTGAAGCGGTTTTTTTAATAGATAGAGTGATTCAAGAGGAAGGTTTATATATATAATACATGTACACCCAGACGAAGCCGGGGCGAGTAGCTAGTACTAGTATAAAAAAATATAAATTAAATTAAATTATAACACTTTATTGCACCAACATATAAAGGACATGAACAAATTAAAAACAAAAAAAAAAAAACTAAGTACAAAAGGCGGTCTTATCGCTAATGCAATCTCTTACAGACTACCTTTGGAAAGAGAGTATTAACAAAAAAGAAATAGAGTAGTTGGCGCATTAGTGGAAACATAAAAATTGTATACACTTATGTAAACAAAATAAAATATAGTACATACACAAATTATAATATAATAAAATTTAAAATCTCTATTGCTGTCAGTTAAACCCATTCCTATTGATAATTTTATCGTTACGCTTGCCTTCAAATTGACTGACTCCGCCCTGACATATTCAGATAACAAAATGGCGACAAGATAAAAAATCGCTTTGAATAACTCTGTCAGGACCAGACAAAAAATGGGTACACCCCGCGATATCTCACCCTTTCCCTTAAGGGGAATCTCCAATTCAAGGGAAATGATCGAAAATTTTATCTCCTCTATGCCCTGCGAACTACATTTCTTCAGTTTCCGCACTATATCATATTCCATAGGTATATGGTATGGTGGTAACAAAAACTTCTAGTAATATTATAACTGCAAAAAAATTGTGTGCATAGAAAGACAGATATTTTTTACTCATTCATGCAAATTCTTATTTTATTTATTTCTTATTTTATTATCACAAAATTAGCATCACATAATATTCTTACATTTGAAAAAAAAACATACATTTACATTTATAACTATATACATATATGTAGTTCAGAACGCAATAGTTTAGTAGGTACGTACTTATTTATACTTTAACACAAATTAATCTAAATATATATAACTCAAAGGTGACTGACATAGTGATCTATCAACGCACAGCTTAAACCACTGGACGGATCGGGCTGAAATTTGGCATGCAGGTAGATGTTATGACGTAGGCATCCGCTAAGAACGGATTTTGATTAATTCTACCCCCAAAGGGATAAAATAGGGGATGAACGTTTGTATGAAACTTTGTCAATTTTAAACCGATCGGGCTGAGACTTTGCATGCATAGAGCTATCATGACGTAGGCATGGCCTAAGAAAATTTTGATAAATTCCACCCCTAAGGGGATAAATTAACGCGAGCGAAGCCGCGGTGGCGATGCTCCGCAGTGGTGGATAGGAAATGCATTTTACTTTATTATTATTATTTATTTGTTTGTTACTATGTTGTTCTTTTATTTTTATTTTTTTTTTTATATAATGATTTCATCTCTAATTTAATGAATAGTTTTATATTTACATTTATCTTATATAATAATTTATATGCAGCTGTCGGCATCGTTTTTATTGTGTTGTGATGTGTGATTAATAAATGTTATTCTATTCTATTCTATTCTATATATGTATATTAAATATGTATTTTAGTATTTGTATCAATTGTCTAGTATCCATAACACAATCTCTGCTTAACTTGATTCTAGACGATGTGAATATAGTCCAGGTGTTATTATCATAATTATAGCTAGTATAAAATACAGCGCTCATAATCACGAGAGTGAAAGGCCAGTTGGTTTGGGAGTCTGTGACGTAATCTCCTTAAGGGAGACGTATACATTCAATTAAGGCAGTTGTAAGGCGGTGCATTGTTAATACGGATTGTGGAACTTGGGTCTCTTGCAGGCGTCGCTAAGACGGTTTTTCAATAAAATATTAACTTGGAAATCCAATAGGGTGACCAATGTTACAGGAGAATATAGGATTTCCACATGCTTTAATAAATTGATGCCTTTTCTTGATGATTTCTAAAGGTTATCGGGATATTACAAATGACAGAATTACGAATAATTTCTATACTGCTTCTTTTATACTATCAAATCATTTTTTTTATGCTACGATGGTGGCAGTCAAGCATACGGCCCATCTGATAGTAAATTGTTACTGTAGCCTATGGACGCCTGAAACACCAAGGGTATCGCGCATTGCCGATCCTTAAGAAACCTTAATATACCCTTCTTGAAAAACCCCATGCTGTAGTCTCGTGAAACAACTTCAGCATTATTAAAATATATGTGAACTACGACGTCCTCTTTGGGCTAGCGGTTAAGCGTGCCGTAAGCGGCTTTGATGGCCGCGGGTTCGCTTCCGCTTATATAAAGTTTGTGAGTATCGATGGATGGATGTATGTTACTCTTTCACAGAAAAACTGCTGAATGGAATTTCATTAAATTTTACAATAATATTGATTGTATATCATAGTACCTAATACATAGGCTATAAATTTCATTCATTCATAATTTAAGAGCTACGCTCATGTCGGTGGAGCTCTTGCCACTTTCCGCGATCTTCCATCATGCTCTTTAATTCTTGATATGACACGACTCCCATTTTGTCCTCAATTTATAAATTTCACGAGGAAACAGCTAGTACTGATATAATATTATACAGATGATAAAAAGGTTGTATATCCAGTTTTCTTAATATGGATTTATGGGCACCCTAATTTTAAGGGCGAATTCCGAGGGTTGAGGACCGGTAGGATTAGCTGCGTACTTATCCCGAACGGAGAGTGTCGGCTTACTTTTGCTAACTTAATTGTATCAATGTACTATTGTCAGACTGCGACTTTGTTTGCGCACTGGGAAGTGTCTATTTTTATTTATTTCTTATTTATAGGTAATGGTAAATAATGTTGGAGATCCTGATCTGATCTGATAGTAATAATAATAGTGCACACAACGCCATCTAGTCCCAAGTTAAGCAGAGCTTGTGTTATGGATACTAGCTAACAAAAAATACATAGATTTTTACTTCGTAAATACATACGTATACATAGAAAACACCCAGACTGATACAAACAATCATATTCATGAATACAACTGTTTGTGCCGTGGGAGGAATCGAACCCGCGACCGCCGAAAGTAAAGCGGTGTGTTAAACCGCTAAAATCTATCTATCTAGGACTCTAAAAGACTGAATTTGACTAGAAAGAAAATAAAAATATACAAAAAATGTACATATTTATATACATATAAGAAATAATGTAATGTAGATATGTACCCACATACCTAATGTAGATATGTACTACCTCTTGAATCACTCTATCTATGCCAATAATAGATAGAGTGATTCAGGAGGATGGTTTAAATGTATATTATACTATCTGTACCCGCGACTTCGTCCGCGTGGAATTTTATTTTATTTTTCTACAAAAAAAAGAATTTATCTAAAATAAAAGTAGCCTAAGTTACTCCTTATTACATCAGCTACCTACCAAAACTAATCCCATCAAAATCGGTCCAACCACTTCAGAGATTAGCCGGAACAAACAGACAGACAGACAAAAATTGTAGAAGATGTTATTTTGGTGTATGTACCGTATTTATATTCATATGCATGCAGTAAAAAACGGTTATTTCAATATTACAAGCAGACACTCCAATTTTATTTATATGTATAGATTATATTATATGCACCCATGCGAAACACAGAAAATATTATTCTATTATTTTATACCAGGTAGGTATAAAATAATAGAATAATATTTTAAAGAACTGTATTATCTCCTTGGTTAACACGAATGTAGAGCCATTTTATTCGCACACAAAATCCCAACACAAACATTTCAAAGCGGGAAGAAACCATTAGTTGCAGTTAGTTGCGACTTAATTGAACAACAAGCAAGTCTAAATTAAAAACAAACAGACACTGCGGTTTGCTAATTTAAGTTAGTTTAACTGTGAACATTATAAAACACGTCGCACACTAGCTGCACGCTCGTGAGTGGTTTATCTTTTAGTTTACCATTTAATTTATATTTATATAACAGTATTTTAAAAAAATTACCCACAAATTGTGAACATTATAAAACACGTTGCACACTAGCTGCATGCTCGTGAGTGGTTTATCTTTTAGTTTACCATTTAATTTATATAACTTGATTTTTAGTAACAGAAATAAAAAAAAATTACCCACTGAACTGTGAGCATTTCAAAACTTGTCGTACATTGGCTGCAAGCTCGTGAGTGGTTTATCTTTTAGTTTACCATTTAATTCATATAACTTGATTTTTGGTAACATAATTAAAAAAATACCCATTGAATTGTGAACATTATAAAATACGTCGCACACTAGCTGCACGCTCGTGAGTGGTTTATCTTTTAGTTTACTATTTAATTTATATAACTTGATTTTTAGCAAAAGAATTTTAAAACAATTACCCACAAATTGTGAACATTATAAAACACGTTGCACACTAGCTGCACGCTCGTGAGTGGTTTATCTTTTAGTTTATCATTTAATTTATATAACTTGATTTTTAGCAAAAGAATTTTAAAAAAATTACCCACAAATTGTGAACATTATAAAACACGTTGCACACTAGCTGCACGCTCGTGAGTGGTTTATCTTTTAGTTTACTATTTAATTTATATAACTTGATTTTTAGCAAAAGAATTTTAAAACAATTACCCACAAATTGTGAACATTATAAAACACGTCGCACACTAGCTGCACGCTCGTGAGTGGTTTATCTTTTAGTTTACCATTTAATTTATATAACTTGATTTTTGGTAACAGAATTAAAAAATTACCCATTGAATTGTGAACATAAAACACGTCGCACACTAGCTGCACGCTCGTGAGTGGT